GAGAAGGCCTTCTCCTTCTCATCTCCCCCCTCGCTCGCCGCCGAGGAAAGGCTGTGAAAGTAGATTGGGCTTCCGCCCGCCCCCTGGAGAGGGGGAAGGGGAACCACTCGATCGCTGAAGTAGGGAAGGCGCCTAGAGTAGACTGGGATCCGTGAATCCAGAAATCCGCCACCGTGCTTCGCGGCACGGAGTGGGCGTGTCCTCAGGTCCTGTCACTCACTCTCTGGGTCTTTTAATTCAAAATCCTGAGTCGTTAGGGGGTTCGAAGCCCTTCGGCCCAAATCTTTTGGGGCGTGGCGCGGTTCCCCTGGGCTCTGGCGCGGTCTGTCGCATGACTTTTTGGTGCCCAAGAGAGCCCCCAGACGGTCCAACAGAGCTCGAAGAGGCCCTCGAAGCGGTCCCAAAGGGTTCAGACTCGCTTGCATATCGCTCCACGACGACGCCCGAGATGGACCCAAGACGGCCCAAGAAGTCATCAATACGCCCCAAAAGGCCTCCGACAGGATTCCGAGGAGGGCCCAGAGGGGCAACATCGATGGATTGTCGTCTGAGCTTTGAAGGTTTTTTGTCTTCTGGCCGTCTCGGCTTCCCGACGCTCCATGACGGCCCAAGAAGTCTCACAACCCGCCCCGAGACGGCCGAAGGGCCCAATCCGCTTCCAAGACGGCCCAGGAGGGCCCCAAGACGCCCCAAGAGGCGCCCAACACGTCCCCAGAGAGCCCCAAGACGGCCCCCAGAAGGGCCCCACACGGGGGCCGCGAACCCGAAATTCAAGCCTTCCGCCCCGAGAAGGCCCCAGGAGGTCCCCAGAGGCCCCAAGAGCCCCAAAACTACCAAAGAGGGCTCCTAGACGGTCCGAGAGGCGCCGACACGGCCCAAGAGGGCCCCAACACAGCGCCAAAAAGGGGCCCGAAGAGAGAACACACGAAACGAAAATCCGAGCCTTCCGCCCCAAGAGGCGCCCATGAGGCCCTGAGGGTGTGTGTGCGTGTGTGTGTGTTTGTGTGTGTGTGTGTGTGTGTGTGCGTGGCCTTGCCAACTTATAAAAAGCGGGGGCGAGGTTCGATGATGAGGAAGCGGAGGTAGATGAGGGCCACGGGGCTTGCTGCCGCTTCTGCTTGTCCTCAAGTGTCCAGGCCCGAACGCCGCGATGCGTTTATCGTATCCGCGTCGCCTCTCTGTGACCCCCGCCCAACCCAGGGCGCAATCTAAGGAGGCGCTAGCCCCCAAATGATTGGGAAACCGACAAGCTTGAGCTGGGGGAGCAGGAGGGGCCGGGTAAGAGGCGGGTGTTCAAGGCATACGCACCCGAGCCGACTCTTGATGCGGGGTTGCCGGCAAGGGCGGGCCCTCGCTAGCAACCCCCAGAAACAGGCCGCAAGGTGGAGGTTCCACAAACACTGGGTGCCCCCCAGTGGCAGTTCCTAGTTCAGGCCAACGGCCCCGAGGGACTGCTTAATGGCGGCCCGCTCGCGGACCTGGCAGCTCGGTCAGTGATCCATTCCCTGTACTTCCGAATAACTTCTCCCTGTCGCACCCCGAGGCCAGTTTTTAGGGCGGGCCTGGCGTTTCGCCTGAGACTTCCTCATCATTTGTGACTCTGAAGCTTGAAAAATGGCAACAGTCTCGCCGCTTGAGGGCGGGTGGTGTCCAACATGTGGCTCTCGCCTTAGCGCGGCGCACATTTGTTTTCAAAGTTTGCACGAGTTTCACGGATTGAGGGCGGGCGGTTTTCAAAATGTGGCTCTCGCCTGAGCGCGGCGCCCATTCGTTTTCAAAATTTGCCAGAGCTTCGCGACGCACATTCGTTTTTAAACTTTGCAAGTGTTGTTCGAGGGCGGCTGGTTTTCAAAATGTGGCTCTCGCCGTAGCGCGGCGCACATTCGTTTTCAACATCTGCACAAACATTTCACGGATTCCCATCATCAACGTACCAAACATGGTGTTTGGAAGGATTCAGGATGCGGGTGCAGCAATTACGTCGATTCTCCGTGTTGAAGTCCGAGGCATGGCGATCTGGCACGAGTCTGGATCGTCAAGATGCAACAGTCAGGTTGATCCGTGGCGTTGGAATCCCGAGAACAATGGTTTGGCATGCTTCAAGGTCTTCAAACGGGTTTCTTCCAACGAGGGAGCTCCATCAACGGAAATGAACCGTTGTAGGGGCCTGTGAAGAGGGAGCTTGGCGGGAGGGTTTACTCCAACATCGTTGATGACTCTGGGGCTTACACTGGTCCTCCTCCTCCTTCTCTTCCTCCTCCTCCTCCTCCTCCTCCCCTTCCCCTTCCTCCTCCATCTCCTCTTCCTCCCTCTTTCCCCTCTGATGCCTTCGCAGATGAACTCGCTTCCCTCCTCGTCCTCCTCTTCCTCCTCCTCCTCCTCATCCTCCTCTTCCTCATCATTCTCCTCATCATCCGCCTCATTATCCTGCCCCCCCAACCCTGGCCTGGGGATTTCCGTACATGCCGCTGTTGTCTCGCAGTCGCACCATGGCTTGATCCTGGGGGCGGTCGCTGAAGGGAAGCGCGCAGCGACGCAGACCGCATGGAGTCGAGCTGAGAGCAGCGTGTCCGTCCAGCAACGCTGCGAATGCCACGACTTGGGCGCAATCATGACGACCTCAGTAGAGGATCTCCATATGACCGACTTGGGAAGCCCTGTGAACGAAATGCTGACCTTGAGGGGTCGTCTGTTTATTCCGCAGCCGGCCTTCCGCTGGCGGAGCCGCCCTCGTTTGGCCTTCGCCGGCTTCCGCCAAACTTACAATAACATATGCTCTCATGTTGCCGGGTCAGGTTTCTTTAGTGTTTCGAGGGTCCCCCCGCACCCAACCTTGGTTCTGCTATCCAGCACCCTCGAGCATCGCACAATATATGATGTGCTACGTAGGTGCAATCGACGTGGTACAATCCATACACCTATCTGTATATATACATACTGTATATATATATATATATATCAATAGAAGTAGGTGTAGATGTCCATGTGTACCAAATATCTACGCATCTCAGAGCGAGGGGGCCGCACGGTCATTCACTGTAGGTCCTGCGGTGCGGATTGCCGAAACAAATAATTGCAATTAGTCCCTGCGGTAACCACAAATTTCAATGACAGTGCTCTTACCAGGGTTCGCACCCTGTTTCTTACAAGGGACAGTGTGGGGTCACCAAACTGTGCCACTAGCCCCCAGTTTACAACAATAACAATGATACCAGAGAAAAAAAAACATCAGATTTTTTTTGGGGGGGCTATAGGGCTGTAGGGCTATATACGGTTATAGGGCTTTAGGACCATAGGGCCATAGGGCCATAGGGCTATAGGGCTATAGGGCTCTAGGGCTCTAGGGCTGTAGGGCTATGGGGCTATTGGGCTATTGGGCTATTGGGCTATAGGGCTATCGGAGGTGAGCGGGTGAGATTGAAGTGGAACGGCGAGCCCCCCACCGGGAAATCGGTTTCGGTTTCGTGTTCGTGCGTGCCGTGCGTGCGAGGCGAAGCTGCGTGGGCGGGCGAGAAAAAGTCTCCTGTGGCTGAGGCGCGGCCGGACCAAATGTTTCTCTTCCGGGGCGCGGGGCCCCGCGGTGTCCCGCCGGTGTCCCGCGGTGTCCTCCTGTGGCTGAGGCGCGGCCGGACCAAATGTTTCTCATCCGGGGCGCGGGGCCCTGCGGTGTCCCGCCAGTGTCCGGCGGTGTCCCGCGGTGTCCCGCGGTGTCCCGCGGTGTCCCGCGGTGTCCCGCCGGTGTCCCGCGAGGATGATGATGATGATGATGATGATGATGATGATGATGATGACGATGATGATGATGATGAGATGATGATGATGATGATGCTGATGATGGTGCCCCGATGAAGATGATGATGGTGATGATGGTGTCGATGATGATGATAGTGTCCCGATGATGAGGATGATGATGCTCATGATGATTATGTTGATGATGATGACGATGATGGTGTCCTGGTGATGATGATGATGATTCCGATGATGTTGATGATGATTATGTTGATGGAAATGGTGTCCCGGCGATAATGATGTTGATGATGATGATGATGATGTTGATAATGAATATGGTGTCCCGATGGTGATGCTGATGATGATGATGATGGTGATGCTGATGTTGCCCCGATGAAGATAATACTGATAAGGACGATGTTGATGATGATTTTGCTCATGATGATGGCGCCCCACTGATGATGATGTTGTTGATGATGATGTCGATGACGATGATGATGAGATGATCATGATGGTGATGGTGTTCCGAGGATGATGACAATGTTGGTGATAATGTTGATGATGGGAACGATGGTGATCATGATGGTGTCCCGACTATTATGATGATTATGATGATGCGGCTGATGATGATGACGATGACTGTGTCCCGATGCTGATGATGATGATGTTGATGATGATATGATTATGGTGATGATGATGATGATGCTGTCCCGATGGTGATGCTGACGTTGATGGTGATGTTTATGATGATGATGATGATGACGGTGCCCCCATGATGATGACGATGTTGGTGATGATGTTGATGTTGATGGTGTTGATGATGACGATGGTGTTGATGACGTTGCTTGTGAGAGCGATTGTGATATCGATAGTAAAATCGATATTGAGACCGAATGTGGGATCGATTGTGTGATCGATTGTGAGATCGATTGTGAGATCAATTGTGAGATCGATCGAATGAGATAGATCGAATGAGATCGATTGTGACATCGATCGAATGAGATCGATCGAGCGAGACCGATAGTGAGATCGATACTGAGGTCGATAGTGAGACCGATCGAGTGAGACAGTTTACAACAATAACAATCATGTAAAGACTGTTCGCTCTTATTTGCTCGAGCGCCATCCAACGTGTATTTCCCAAACCCTCGATACCCGCCCTCTTCGTCTTCGATCGTGCCACTTTTGGGGGGTATATTTTCTTCCCTGCAAGCAAGGCCCCAGCCAGCGGCGGGGCGGCCGCGAACCGTCGGCCTGGCCAACGGCATCGCTGATCGGCGGCAACCCGACCCAAGAGGGACGGACAGGGGACTGACCACGACGACGACGACGATGACAAGGAGCGACAGCGAGAGCGAGAGCGACAGCGGGGCCACGAAAGGCAGGAAGGGGGCCACGAAGGGCGACAGTGGGACCACGAAGGTCATGCGTATGGGGCCACGATTGGCACGAACGAGCAGGGCTACGAAGGGCAGATAATGAGGGGCCACTGAGGGCAACGACGGGGCCATGAGGGTAGCAACGGGGCCACGTAAGACAGCGAGGGGGCGACGAAAGGCGACAGCGAGGCCACGATGGGCATGCATATGGGGCGACGACGGGCGCGAACGCGGGGGCCACGAAGGGCATACGTATATCGGGCCGCAGAGCGCAAGGACGGGGCCATTGATGGCAGCAACGGGGCCAGGAAGGGCAGCGACGGGGCCACGAAGATCGACAGCGAGGCCACGAAGGGCATGCATATGAGGCCACGACGGGCGCGAACGAGCGGGGGCCACGAAGGGCATACATATATAGGGCCACGAAGGGGCCACGAAAGGCTGCAGCGGGGACGCGCGCGAAGGGCAGCGAAGGGGCCACGAAGGGCAGGGCCGCAAGGGGCCACGAAGGGCTGCAACGGGGCCACGAGAAGGCAGCGAGGGGGCCACGAAGGGCTGCCACGGCGCCACGACGGGCAGCGAGGGGGCCACGAAGGGCTGCAACGGGGCCACGGAGGGCAGCGAGGGGGCCACCAAGAAGGGCTGCAACGGGACCACGCAGGGCAGCGAGGGCGAGGGGGCCACGAAGGGCTGCAACGGGTCCACGAAGGGCAACGAAGGGGCCACGAAGGGCTGCAATGGGGCCACGAAGGGCAGCGACATCCGATTCCTAAATCAACTGCGAAGGAGTCCTAAGCGTGAGCTCGACTCCTGGGTGCCTGAGTGTCGGGAGCGCGGCGCTTGAGCAAATTGTTGGGAATTCCAGCGCAGAGCGCGATGTTGGAAGAAATTGCAAGCGCGTCTCCAACGAGAGCGCGACCCCAGAGCGCCGAGAGAACGATTCCTACATACATTGTATGAAAATGCCAGAAACGAGGGCGCGACTCCGGATTTAAATGCGAGGGAGTCTCAGGCGGGAGCGGGGGTCTTGGCTCAATTGCGAAGAAATCTCATGCGGGAACCGTCGTTGTTGTAACCCGAATCAAAAACCCAGTGTGAGCCGAGTGAGTTTCCCTCATAAAAAACTCGCTGCGGGCCCCGGGGGCAGCGTTTCAATTGAAACAACAGAACGGTTACCGGAGGCGGGGATTAAAAATAATTGTCCTTCAGCATTGATATTTCAACGGCTCCCGCCTGCTACGTCCGCATAAATCATTCCCAAGTCGCTCTCTCGCGCGGCGCGGCAGTTTCTCACACTTCTCGCGTGGGACTTTTTCCTAATGTATTCAATCGCCGCGCCCTCGACACTCAGGAATCACGCTCTCGCTGTGGATTTCCGGCGGTTGGTTTGGGAATCGCGCTATCGCTCGAAACTTCCTCGACATTCATGCAGGATGCACCCTTCAGCAAACCGCCTGCTCGACCTGGCCGCGTGGGCCCGCCTTCCCGACCCGACCGTCAGGGCTTATGGTCTACCCGCCCGATCTGCCCGTCTGGTTCTGCCACTTGTTTGCTGTTCCTAGCCTCCTCTCCTGCTTCTCGGTCTCGTGCTCCTTCCTCTTCCCTCCCCCTTGTCTGGCCCTTCCATCCGTCCTCCCTCCCCCTTTCCTTAAGGGTTGCACGAGATACACGTAGCAGGTAAAACAAATATCCTTATAGGGTACGATCGAAGACAAAATGGGCGGGTATCGAGGGTTTGGGGGATACGTGTTGAATTGCACGCGAGCAGATATGAACAGACAAGATTAACATGAATGCCGCTGTTGTTGATGATGCTGTTGCCGATGTTATTGTTTGTTTTTGTAGTTGTTTCGTGTTGAATGTTCGTTGTCATCGTTCCCCCCGCGACCCGGCCCGCGACCCGCCCGCGACCCGTCCTGCCACCCACCCGGTACCCACCCGCAACCCGCTCGCGACCCACCCACGACCCACCCGCGACGCGCCCGACCAACCCCGCGACCCGCCCGCGATCCATCCGCGACCCGCCCGCAATCCACCCGCGACCCACCCGCGACACACCCTCGACCCACCCGCGACCCATGCCGTCTGTTTCTGCTGTTAGACTGACTGTTCTCGAAATGCTCAGAATTGAATCCCGCACGAAGCATCTGTTTTTTGGAAGATTTCGGCGCGCGCACGGCGACGCGTACGCGTGAACTGCGCCCCGTGTTGGCGCAGGATTTGTGAAATTTGTGATTTGTGATAAACGAGTCCGCGCGCATATGTTTTTGGCTCGGGGCGAGGGGGCCGTCGATCCCGGCAGGGCTGGGATGACAAGGACTTGCATCGAGAATGGACGACGGGGCAAAACCTAGAGAAACTGCACATCCCCAGGGGGCCGATCATCGGGGGG